CTCGGGGGGGGTGGGCTCGCGTCTGATTAGCTAATTGGTGAGGCAATAGCTTACCAAGGCGATGATCAGCCACACTAGGACTGAGATGCGGGCCCAAACTCCCACGAGAGGTAGTAGTGGGGATCTCTCTATTGACATCTTAGAGTGTCCATTCCTTGCAAGCAACATAAGCCCAAGCCCCGCTTCCTTCCTCTTCGGGCAAGCAACTTTTCTTCTTTTGCCCTCTCTCCTGCCGTAGAGTACCCAATGATTTAAAATAGAACAGAGATAAAGGATCCCAGCACAAGGAAACACCTTTGTAGTTGTCTTAATAACTGGATCAGATTGAAGAATCCGATTTTAAACGAGGCAAACAAAAGAGGAGGAAAAACCACTCAATAAATGAAATTGCTGAAGGAAAAAGGATTTTCCTTGAACTGTTTGAAAGTTATCCAACTTGGGTTTCTTTCTATATGGTGTAAATATATGACACCTGGCCTAACTCAATCCCAAAAACTAGCACATGAGGGGAGGTTTGTCCAAGACCATATAAGGAGACCAATTTCCCATCCCTCTACCAATGTGGGACTTCTTAACACTCCCCCGCACGCCCAGACCTTAACTAGAGCGTGAACACTTATAAATGGGGGCCCAACATCGATGAACAACAAATTGAGATGGGCCTAGCTCTAATACCATGTAAAAATATGACACCTGGGCCTAACTCAACCCCTAAAACTAGCTCATGAGGGGAAGTTTGTCCAAGTCCATATAAGGAGACCAATTTCCCATCCCTCTACCGATGTGGGACTTCTTAACATATAGAATAGAAAACTATTGATACGTCTGATGGAAATGAAATCTGTCAATAGTAACATAGTCACACTATTTCAATTAAAACAAAAAAATAAATCAAAATAAATGAAAGTCAAGTACTCTTTTTCACATTCTACATTACATACACTTTTTCTTCGAGAATGCTGGGAATCCCACTCATAATACTTTCATTTAGTTTCTAGATATGTAAATTTTATCGGAATAAATTGAAGATTCTATATCCAAATTTATACTGAACATTAATTAGTTTGATCCTCGTATTCCAAATAAAGCCACATAAATAAAATCACGGGGAGTAAATATATATTTTTTTAAATAGCTATGGAACCTACTATAAATAAAGAAAAAAGGGGAGGGGGGGAGGGAGTTTGTGGGGCCTAAAGCCTTTGCGCTAGTGGCTTTGGCCTTGAGCTGGCTAAGTAACCTAATCATACAAACTGTAGCCCACCAACATCAGATGGCGCACCAGAATCCGGTACTGGAAGTCCTTGAAGGGGACAGGAGCTTCAAAGATGGTAAGTGGAGAATCTAGCTTCCCCCTTAGTCTCAAATATAACCAATGAATTACAACTGAAGCTTCTCTTGAAACGTAATTGCCCAAAAATGGAATGTTCTTTAGATCCAATCCAGGGCAAAACTTTGGAGATTGTGAATGAGATTATATATATGTATGTTTTGATCGAATTAGCATTTGATAAACAATTGTCATCAGGAATAAGTAGGGATTTTTTCTCTTATCCTGCTGGGGAAATATTGATATTCCTTTCTTTTGTTGTTGTAGGTTGCGTAGATCCAAAAGTTCTACTTGAGCTCTTCTCTGTATATCGCCAGTGGCAAGAGGAGAAGGCCCAGAAGATCTGTAAAAGACAGGTTTGCTCAATCATTATCATGTTCTTCTGGTCACTTAATGCTTCAGTAGCCATTTTCCAGTGTGGTAGTGGTTCCATCCATAGAAAGTGTGGATCTAGAACAGGCTGAAATGTATATTTGTATAAGTTTGAGTTAGACTGTATGTAATTACACAAACCATTCTATTCTTAATGCATTCACTTGTCTAACATGGTCGCTTGTGAGTCATTTCTTATTAACACACACACACACTCACACACACAGAGGGGCGGGAGGAGGGAAATTATGAGTATCCTTTTGAGTCAAAGCTGTGGTCTGAATTTGTATGGAATTCTTGCAAGTAAATTAAGGTCAAATAGTTCAGATAACTACTGTTAGCCGTTTTGGGCCAGCAATGAGGTGGATTATCCCGCCGATCCCTCCCAAAGGAAGTAAAACATAGTCATCGTGTTCACCAAAGAAGTTGCATACATGCTCAAAGTTGTTTAGTAGTTATTTGATCCTTATTATGTTTACTATGTAGAAGTGGCTGACTAGATTGATTTGGGTTCTCTAAAACTTGATTCCAACTTTAATATGTGTAAAGGAGCAGCTGCCTCAAAAAAAAATTCTATCTGATTACTAGATATTCCCCAACTTTTCAGACATATATATTTCCTGAAGTTAGTTGCTAAAATTAAATGCCCTCTAGATCAGTAGTAGACAATATCCTTTTGAATCAGTAATTGCCCATCAATCATCATCACACTGAACTTTCAAAGGGTGGGAAAAGATTTTACAAGGTTTATTTTTGTGTTTGATTGTAGCTACATCATTATTTCACCCATCATACGTTGGTCGAGAATTTTCTTGCCACATTCCATAATATGGCTCGTACTATACAGATGGTTGTATGCCATTTATAACGTGTGCTTCCCTGTGACTAGAGTTTAAAGTTAATAGTCAATTTGGTGGTGGTTTTTTCGACACTAGGATTTTTAAGCTCTGTTCAGTACATTAAGTACTATGTTCAAGGTGTTAGGGTACGTATGCTAGCATGTTGAAGTTCTTCATCATGTTTACAAGCTTGTGTTGTTTGTTGTGGTTCTTCTTCATGTGAAAAGAAGAGCTCATATATCTTTTTAAAGTAGATTCCTTGGATAATTGCTGCAGGAAGAACTAGAAAACAAAATAGAAGTTGCAGATGCATTGGCTGTTAAGCTTCTTCAACGCTTCAATTACTCTGTTTCCGCAATGAAAACAACCTCACAGCATCTATCAGAAGGTATTTTAATAGCCAATCTCGGAAAGCAGAAGAGAAAAAAAATGTCCGTCGGGATAACTAGGGCTACTGTAGTGTGGAGCTTTAGAATAAAGTTAAATGTTTGTCCTTGTGATATCTGATTCCCATTATTAAAAAATCTAGCAAGCTAATGCTGTTTTTTTTACCTCAATGTTTGAATTGCACACAGTACATGGTTTGCAGGTTGAACTTGGAGTGTTGAAAGGCAGGTTGACAGAGGTAATCAGTAATTGTGATGCATTGTGCAAGAGGATTGATGCAGAGGGACCAGAATCGCTGCGATCATCTATCAAACCATTTACAACAGCTTCCTCTGATACAGAAAGCAATAGCAGCAGCATGCATACTCTGCAAGGTAAAGTAGATGAAAAGCAATAGTGCCGAGGCCTCTCTTTGGAGCTTATAAAATGTCTCTATACCCCGGTGTACATTACTTGTTTGAGCATTAATGACCCATACTTGTATCTAGCCAACTGACTGGTAGTTCAAGGCTTCAAGCACACTTGGAAATTGATTGCACAGGAAACATAGTCGGGAAATTAATTTCATAGCAAGCATGTTGATCGACTTCTCAGCTAGTATTGACTGTTCATTTAATTGTACTTGAAATGTTAAGATTCACTGTGGTGATGCTATGTTTTTCCCCTCTAAATTATGATAGATGTCCTTCCTATGGATATTCAGGAGCTGTTATGGATTTGAGAATTTAATTGTAGTATGCTGATTCTAATTTTGAGCTGTTGTTTTTCAACTTGATTATGAGAAATCGCTGATGTATTTATGAATATTCGTGAAGAAATTGGGGGTATTCGGATAATAAAGTTTTAAGGGTGCGTACGAAAATGTTTTTCATGGAAAATAAGTGGGTTTTCTACTTATTCTCTTGTGTTCGATTGGTAGATAATAATAATTTAGACAGATACTATATAAGGTGGGGTGGGGAGGTAGGTGTATGGGATGGTAGGGATAAGAGCCAAGGGGAGTGCGGTGAAGATGAATTCTATTAGAGGATGGAGAGGATAAGATCAATGTTGTGGAATGTCTCTAGTAGAGTTTGTTTTCCTAAACTTTTATTAGGTGAGAAGTTTGACTTTTAGAAAAAATATTTTTATAAATATTTGACCAATCGAAGTTAAAAAAAAAATGGAAGACATTTCCTTCCACGACCCATGTTGTACCGTTCCTCCATGATTGAAAAATGACTATCGAAGGTGACTCAACTGCTAGTCTGCTACACAAGTTACTCCGCTGTTATATCTCCTCAATCTAAAAGAGACGAGGTTGAAAGGAGGAAATTCGTGAAAACGTAATTCTTTATAATTTGAATTAAAGAAATTAACTCTAGTTGAATATTCCAACTTCCGTTTTGATTATCTAGACATCTTAACTTGATGTAAGTTGACATCATAAACGATGTTCGATAGATCTAATGTGTGAGTTGCACTCACCAATAGCATGACGAAGTAACAAATAAAAAGTTGAAAACATGTACGTATGTAAACTCATTGATACATTCGCGCGGTTTTGGAAAATATTAGTGCACTAATAAGTTTCAAACAATTAATAACAAGAGGACTAAGTGACGAATGAATGAAGATATATAGTCTGAAATTTGCGGAGTTACGGTGGGAAATATAATATAGCGATATACCATTAGAATTCATGTGCCTTTTGAGTAGTGGCGGAGCAAAAAAATATTGTGTTATTTAGGGTTTGAATCTGGAACTACTTCATTTAAATGGACACTCATTATCAATATGTGTCCATGCTACGGCTACACCCTTGCTTTTGAGGTTAGCGATTAGAGTAATGGAACAAGAAAAAGATGATAAAACAATGATGCTTAAAAAATTAACGTCAATATATCACTCGAAACCTTTAAATTTTGAAATCGTTTTAATTCTCTTAACATTATAAAAAAAGATGAGAGAAAAATACAAAGTAGGAAAAAAAAATTGGTTACACATTAGTTGAACTTTTCATCGTCGCTTGACAATACATTTTTTTTTAAAAAATACAATAAGATAAAAATAAACATATAGTTGCACTAGAACACACAAAAACAAAATGTGGAAGATTTGGTGAAAAACATAACACGTGATCAAGGCTGTTGTTGGGCATCAATATATCCAGCATCAACAAGAACTTTCTCTCTTTTAGCCAACTCTACATCTTCATCCACCATCATCTTCACCAGTTGCTCAAATCCCACTTTTGGTTTCCAACCCAACACTTTTTTCGCTTTGCTTGCATCTCCTTTCAGATTATCAACTTCCGTTGGCCGGAAATATCTCTTGTCAATCTCCACATGTTCCTTCCAGTTCAATCCAACGTACATAAATGCTACTTCTAGAAACTCCTCTACAGTATGTGAATCCTCCGTTGCCACAACGTAGTCGTCTGGTTTCTCTTGCTGCAGCATCATCCACATTGCTTCTACATAGTCTCCAGCAAAGCCCCAGTCCCTTGACGCCTGTAAATTCCCCAAAAACACCTTGCTCTGTAACCCGATTTTTATCCTCCCTACAGCCCGGGTTATCTTCCTCGTCACGAAATTCTCACCCCGACGAGGAGACTCGTGGTTGAAGAGAATCCCATTGCACGCGAATATCCCGTACGCTTCGCGGTAATTCACTGTGTACCAATGCGCCGAGCATTTGGAAACGGCGTAAGGAGATCTCGGGTGAAACGGAGTAGATTCCGATTGCGGTGGCGGTGTAGATCCGAACATCTCCGATGATCCGGCTTGGTAATACTTGACGTGTGACCTTCCGGTAGCGGAGATGTGAGAACGAAGCGCCTCAAGGAAGCGGAGGGCGCCAGTAGCCACCACGTCGGCGGTGTAATCAGGGATCTCAAAAGAGACGGCGACATGAGATTGAGCAGCTAGGTTGTAAATCTCATCAGGGAGGATAATATCGAGCCAGCGTCGGAGAGAACTAGCGTCGGAGAGATCAGCATAATGGAGCTTCATTTTGGCTCTGTAGGTGTTATGAGGATCGATATAAATGTGATTGATGCGTTGGGTATTGAAACTGGAGGATCTACGAATAAGGCCATGGACTTCATAGTTTTTGCTAATGAGTAATTCAGTGAGATAGGAACCATCTTGGCCTGTGATGCCAGTGATCAGTGCAATTTTAGATCTAGGAGAGTTGCCGGTGCTGCCATTTTCAGCTGCCATTTTTGTTGCCAGTTTGGATCAGGTGATTTTGAGACAAATGGGGGTATTTGTTTGATTGTAATGAGAGGCAAATTAGAATTCCAAAATATCGCACTATATATAACACCAATGAAAACTATTAAAAAATTACTAGTATACATAAAAGATTGAGTCAATGTTCTAAAAGAAAAAATGAGAAGTTATTTATTTTCCTTTTCCAATGTCGTGGTCCAGATTAATGAATTGAAATAAGAATTGTAAGATTTTACGTTCAAACTTGAAGCAAAAACATTATTTTTTCCATCCATTGTTATTTATTTTTCATATTAAAAATAAATATTCAACCAAAAGATATTTTATCCTTAAAGGACTATTTAATTGGGGAACAAATTATTTCACCACATGGAATTAAAATAACACAATAATGTCGTCTTTTACTAGTATAGGAAGTGTTCAATATATTTTGAGAATTTACTTTTCTTTATGAGAGGTGCTTGAATGAAGAGTAGAAAAAATTAGAACACATAGTCAATGTTCTAAAAGAAAAAATGAGAAGTTATTCTTTTCATTTAATGAATAAAAAATGACCTTCTTTGTTCTAGCTTCTGCTTTTTTCCCAGGAATTTTCAGTATAAGAAAAAAATAATCACATCCAATGATCTAGTGATTAACAAATTGGGTTGAAAATTATGAGGTTTTAAAATTCTGATAGAAGTAAAAATATTATTTTCTTCGTCCATTTTTTTTCATCTATTATATTAAAAATAAGTATTCAACTAAAAGATAAGTTATTACTTAAAACTCGTTTGATTGGGAACACGTTATTCTCAACATGGAATAAAAATAACACTACATTCCAAATTATTATTCATAGGGAGTCTTTACTTAGTAAATGATAGGGTTGTTCACAACTGAACTGAAATTGATAACCTGAATAAGGAAAAAATTATTCATTTATCAATAATGAATTACGTATGATTTAGCGGTTTTGGTAACAATTTTTTTTATTATAAGATTATCGATTCTTGACGGTTTGAAGTTTCTTCTTAACGGGTTAATCGATAGCCAATAGTAAATTAATAAATTATATTTATATCATTCGGTATATAAAATCATTGACATAGGGTTTAGTTTCATACTTTAATTCCTGATTGTCTTAAACTTTCGATTGTCCTACAATGTATTAGTGTTTGATTTTGAGCAATGTGTAATTTGTCAATTCATGTGCCTGGTTCATTGAGTTTGTTATCTTGTTTTTAAGTGATTTCATTTTTTTGGGTCACATCTTAACGATCAAAATGATAATTAAATCGATAATGATCGATAACCGATAAATCAATAACTTAATAATTCTATGAGGATTTAACATATCACAAGCCGGTAACCGATAAACTTCAAAACTAAACCAAACCAGCGACTAGGAACTAGGAAGTGTAGTGCTTAATTTAAAAATATAAGGGGTCTATCTGCATCTAAGTAATAGTATAAGGGTATTTTAGTGTAATTAACCCTAAATGAAAAATAAAAGGACGAGGACGTAATGAGGTGTAGGCGGTAAATATGAAAAGGCGTGTAACGATCTTTCAAGCAGCAGCCAAAATACAAATATGCTTCCTCCCGCAGCGGCGCAACGTCTTCGACTCTCTTATTTTTTCCACTCCCCAAACAACGATTGCTAGGGTTTTCATTCCAATCTCTGTTCCTCCCGATTTCTACTCTCAATTTTTTTTTTACTGAAACAACATTCCGATTCTTACTCGCATTATCAAGTTGATAATCTGAAGGCGATTTTGAGTGTTGTAGGGTAAATCAAGTGTCCGATAAAGTGATTTCTTTATGGGTTTGAAGAAAGCAAAAACGGTTTCTTGGGCTTCTGGACCTAATCTTTGTCAGGTATACATTACTCATTGAGTCTGTTTACTCTGTTTAGTGCTCAATTTTTTATGTTTATTTTTAATTTTTTATATACGACTATGGATTAAATTCACTCTTTCTTGTATACATAGATATAGATGTGTGTCTGTTTCAGAAAATCACAAAGATGAGTTTTCTTGCAGAATCCTACTGCATTGCCTTTTTTTTTTTTTATGGTTTACCGGTTCTTATGAGTTCTGTGATTTTTTTTGTTAGATTAGATTGGGGAAAGAAGATGCTAACTTGTTTTGCTGCTTTGTCTTACCTGCATTATTTTCTGCTTGATGTTCTGTTATGAATGAGTGGCTGGAATTTAGGAAAATCTGGAAAGGGAAATTATGGATTTTGATACTACTAAAATATTAGGACAAAAGAGTAAAGAAAAAGATTAAGATTAGGTAAATTCTGAAACCTAGCGGGAATCAGTTAATGGCCTTGAGATTATGTTTGATGAGTACCTATATGTTTCTTATATTGGATGTAGACAAGAGAAACTCCAGGTGACCAAGAATTGCTTTGAACAGTGTTAGGGTTTGTAAGGGTAGCAGCCATTTATTTTCTTTTCCAGCTTTGACTTAGTTGTTTACCTTTTCGTTGAAAGGTACCTATCATGCCCTAAATTCATGTGACTGGCACACGAAACACTAACTTACATGTGTGAACCAAACTCGTATAATGCTCCCCGACCACATTTGAACCAAATGTGGAAACATTTGAAAATTTTATACATTCTCAAATCAATCATGAAATGTTCTCAAATTTAAAACTATACATGAATCATTTCATAAGAAAAATAAATGTGTTTTTCCATGTATGTCACGTACACTCCCATTATTAAGACCCAAGTTATCTATGGAGCCTCTATACAATGGAATGTAATTAAACTCTCGGGACAACTTCTGACTAAAGAAAAAGAAGAACATAGTAGTTGACACAAAATAAAAGTGGAAGAAGATCATAATAGGCTAACACGAAATAAAGGCATAATGCATACATGTGCCCTTTAACTTGGCCTCATTGCACATTTATGCCTTTCAACTTTGGTGTGCATAAATAAACATTTAAACTTGTATAAAGTTGAAGAAGTAGGCATATGAGTCCTCTAGGCATATGAGTCCTCTGTGACATAATACACGTAGGACTCAAATTGTCATGTAGCATGCCAAGGAGGATGCGTGTGTCTATTTGTTTAACTTTATACAAGTTTAAGTGTCTATTTGTGCACACTCAAAGTTGGAGAGCATCAATGTGAGCTGAAACCTAGTTAAAAAGTATATTTATGTATTATGCCCAAAATAAAAGTGGTGCTTTAACATGTACCTCAGGAAGAAAGTAACCTTAGCAATGTCCACTCATAACATGCCATGCCTCATTCTTAAATATGGAAACATAGTGGGGGCCTAAAAGGTTTGAGTACACCTTCACAATACTCAATAAGAATTATCGACTCTCTTTCATTAAAAGTTGGGACAACTACTCACCCTGCAAAGAGGTGGAACCAACCAAGACCGACTGAAAAGGAGGCTCGATCCAGAGGGAGAGCATTCGATGTGATTCCAAGAGCCGAACGAGAATCAATACCATAAAGAAAAGTCGAAGACTTTATTAGGGAATCAATTCAAGTATTATTCGACATAGAACAAAATGCACTAAATTTTAAATCACAATATATTTTATATTTGAATTGCAGGATCAAGTGTAAATTTATTTCAACTCAACCTTATTTCGATTCCATTAACAAAATAATTTAATTAAATCATTAAATTCCTTTCAATTGAATTGAAACATAAGAATCACTTTCGGTTCCTTAGGCCCAAGCTTATTCAAATCTTTTATACCTTTCATGGGTAGTACTATACTAGCACCGACACAAGATCCAAAAGGTCAAGTAGGTGATCAATACTGTGAAAAGTATCATAGAACCTACTTGCTCATGTCATGTCATCTCATCGTAGTGTCACATGAATCGACTCAACCATGCTATTATAGCACAATATTAGTACTCTCCCATGAGGCACTTTGGCATAGCCCTTTACTATTAGGTAGAGTCCATGCATACACTAACACGTGTAGTTTCAAGGTGACAATCAAAATTTATCTGAAGCCAATCTCGGTGAACACAAGTAACTCCCAAAATATTTAAATATGTCAAAAATAAATATATGGCCTAGTAGCCTTAAAAGATATACTTACATCACATACTGATGTTCATAACCAATCCAACTCATTTAAATAGAATCAACTATAAGATCTTTTCCTCGAGAGAAAATTTAAGACTCAAAATATTCAACAAGTGCTATTTCAAATCATTTGGCTCTTAGAAGCATAAATACTAATGAATGTAAATTCTTTTTTTTTGTTTTTTTGAACTTGGTAACTTCTAATGAATGTAAATTCTTTATAGCAGATAACACTTGGGTGAATATTTTCAAAATCACTCTCAGATCAATCGTGAAGCATTTTCAACTTTAAAACAATACATGAATCATTTCATAAGAATAATAAATAAAAAATAAAATAAATGTGTTTCCATGTATACACTCCCCATTATTATGACCAAGACAACTATCTATGGAGTCTAATATACAATGGAATGGAATTAAACTCTTGGGACAATTTCTATCTAAAGAAAAGAAGGAACACACGTATTACATACTCGTGTCTACTGTAGTTTGATCCACTTAGTCCAATGTATGTCCATGGACTATGTACTTTCTCATGTTTTGCCAACACTTGAATTTTACTCAAATCACACATGTTCCCAAGTTGTAAAGGTCTATTTGAGTTGACTATTAAATCTTTGCCTACTACAGAATAATTTCAACACCCTCGATGCAGAATATCATATCTGTAACTCATGAGCCTGCAATTTTCGTACAAGCACTTTATTGTAAATATACCCATTTCATTATGAAGGTCACTAACGATCTTCCTTTGTCTTGTTTCTGGTTTCTAGAATCTTTCTTTCTTCACCAGCATCTTAAGGTGACTTTTACGTGTCCCAATTATCCCCCCACTTAGGACTTAGGAGTAGGTCCAATTCAAACTTGTACTGTGTCACTCAGAGATTCCGTTAAGTCATCATCTCTCAGGTACTTCTTGACCATTTACATGTTCAACCTGTTATAACAAGTTATGTTATTCTGAACTAAGAAATCTCACTTTACCATTTCCATTTTCCTTCATCAATCCTTGATTTTCTACCTTTTGTCATCACAGTTGTATTGCTTTTTATTCTGACAATAAGGTACATGTGTGGATGTACGATGAGAAATGAGATCAACACTGGGAGAGGAGCAGGTTTATTTAAGTCATGTGTTTGTGCCATTTCAGCCAAGAGATTCTTTAGTGGGATGTAATAGATTAAAAGAAAGATGCAGCTTGATGCAGATCATATAAAATATTCATTAAAAAAGCCCAACTTAGAATCATATCAATTCCCAACCCACAAGGTAGTCCTTTGACAAGAGCTTTCATCAATTTTGTTCTTGGTCCTATATTATCTTATATTTTGTAGAGATATCAACAACATTCCTAATAACTGGTAATGCTAGGAGGAGAGTAAGTGACTTGATAAATGTTATTGACGCTAACATGTTCCTTGCTTAAAAGTGCATCTTCTTGCATAGGTGCTTGTTCTTAACATGTTTGACATAGAAGTTACAATTGCAAGATCTGTAAACATAGTGAACATGAAGGAAAATGATGAGTTTATACTCTACGATTTCCAAAGCCTATCCCTTAGCTTGAATACTGTCTTCTCCATTTAAGCTCCAAAATTTGGCAATTTCAAGTAGAATGCCCCAACCCTCTTACTGGTTTTCCATTGTTTTGTGCTTAAAACTTTTTCTCTGTCAATTCATCACACACCTAAAGGATTGCTGAGAAATGTTTCTGTTTGTTGTCTAATGTCCATAGACTCTACATGCTTCTAACTGTTAATTGCACTTTTAAACTCCATCTTAGTCATACGAAGTCATAAAAGAAATAAATTGGGATGAAGATTTAGTCGCCTTTCTCCCTTTGGAGAGAAGATGAGCTCCTGATTTGGTGCCTCTTCACAAGACGCACCCAAATGTTTGAGTTGTTAATTGAAAATTGTTCCCCACTTTTTGAAGGTAGAGCAAACATGAAGAAGTGATGTTGTGTTGTTGCTGTATATTATTTTTCCAAGGAGATATTTCTAGTGTAGTCTAAAGGACATGTCAATTTGACATGCTTTCAGGTTTACTTGTCAAGAACATTAATTGCTTTAGTTTTTTCCAATTTCTCCTTAACAAGTTTGCATATTTTACCATTCAACATTATCAGGTAAAACATTATCAAGAAGAGGATTGCCCATCAAAAGTCAGTAGGGGATCTCAACATCATCTTCAGCTGCAAGGGAGGCTTTGTTACAAATCTTTGGCTAAATGGAAATGTCCTCCCAAGGTAATCTAAGTTTTAGATGATAGGAGGTGACTTTATATGCATAGTTTCTGCACACATTATCGTAATAACCAAGTTAATGTTGTTATTTGTAGTTTAACTTGAACGAGAAATGGCGTGTGGTTGCTGGTGAAGAAAGTAAAGAAGCAGGAGATCAGGAGCATAGGGAAAAGAGAGTGCTTGAGGTGGTTTTTCCTTGTCGATCTGCAATTCCTCCGAAGTAAGTAATTTTGGACTATCTCTTTGGTTTATAGCTTATTTGTATCAATTTACTTGGGTTGTAATCCATTGTTTTGCTTATTGCCGTACAGTCCTTCCACCTCGTTGGATCTGGACCAAAATTATGATGATAACCGAACTCCAGCAATCCGAATCATTCCTATTGAAGAAGAAGCAGATGTAGAAGTTCCATCCCAAACCATCAGCAGCAAATCGCCAGATGCATGTCTACCTAACAGTGCCTCATCATCTTTCAGTTTAGTTACTTCGCAAAAGCTACCTGCTAATGAAAAATCACTTCCCCAGTCTTTATCAACCATCCAAAATCCCAGGAAACCTTCAAGCAACTCTCCTCCTTCTGCAAAATGGCCTTCTAAAGTTCAATCAACTCCTCCATATCTTTCAAGATGTCGAAATCTGAAGGGATCTGACCAAACCAAAGTTTCTCCTAAACCACCAACTGTTCCCCAGCATCAGCCGACATTTAAAAATATCAGCACTCAAGACCAGACTGAAATTTATCCAGACCAATCAGCTAATCATAACTATGGGCCCAAATATCAAAGAATATGTGAAAACCAGAATATTCCCCAGCTCAAGTCTGAAGTTTCTGGAATGCCACCTGCTAAGCACAACCCTGTCACCCAGAATATTCCTGGTTTTGAGGGTGATTTGACAGTTGCTATAGCCACAGCTGTAGCTGCTCTTGCAAAAAGTCAAGAGCAGGATAGTCTGATCGATACCAACTTATTGGTTAGGCTTCTCCTTAACCCAGAAGAAATACCAAAGCTGATGAATGAACGTGGACTGGCTACCAATGCCAAAACTGGTGCTGTAACAATTGATTCTCTCGTTGCTGCCATGTCTAGGCCAGTGGATCTACCGGTTCCCTTGCCTAGGACAAAACCCGATAAGGTAATTATCAAGCCCATTAATGAATACCAAGCTCCCCATGCAGGATCTGGACAAATTTTTGGGCCAAAGCCAATGGCAAAATCTGTGCCCTTGACGATGACTAAGCCTGAAACATCATCTGTGAAAAGTAATTTGGTTAATGAACAAAGGGCCCCTCCTCATGTGGGAACTGCAAACATTAGAGAGAGTAAGTCACTAGCTCACCCCACTTCAGACCTAAATCTGGAAAAGATTAAGAAATTGATTAACAAATATGGAGTACCTGACAATGTAGGAGGAAAGCCGTTGGTTAATTCTGAGTTGGTTCCTTCTTCTTGTTCCAAATATGATGTGGTTTCACCCAATGTTGGCCATACATCCCCTTTCTCCTCAATGACTAGTCCTACCCCTCTTCACAAGGATATCAATTACTGCAAGTCCTTGATCAAGCAACATGGAGAAATTTGTGAGTCTGCAGTTGATGATCGTTTGCAAAATACCAATCCTCGTGGTAATTATACACGAGTGCCAGGTTTGTTAATGAACCAAAAACCGATTCAGTGCAGTTTGACGCGTTGTGTTTTCTTTAATAAACCTAGGGGATGCCGTAATGGTTCCTCTTGTCCCTTCCTGCATGATATATCCGGACAAAAGAGGTCTGGGGGGATTTTGGAAGATCGGGATTTTAAGAGAATGTCGTAAAGTGAGGACATGACTCAAGGGGTATTTCTTTTCTTTTATACAGGAAACTAGTGACAAAAGGCAACTGTTAGAACAAAAGCACTCCCGTTGCGCCTTTTCCTTGAGGGAAATTTTGAAAAGCAGATCTTTAAAACTTGGATTAAAATTTTAGAATCAGACATGGCTTTTATCTGAAAATCTTGAAGGAGTTGTCCTTTGAAACTTTGAAGTTGGATGAAGCGTTTTTTGCCTTGGACAATAATTCTCTTTCGACAGGTTTTGAAGTCGTTTTTTTGCTCTCCTAATTGCAATTACAATCCAGTATATTGACCCCTCCCTCCCCTCACTTTAAAAATGAAAAAGTGACCGTTTGATATCAATAATGAATTTAAGATAATTTGATTTAATGCTATAATTTAGTGGGAATTGACAAGGCAATGAAGGATTTGATAGACCGAAGTTTATTAAATTCTTTAAAGGTAGTGAAAATGGTACTAAATCGAATAATAATGGGATAGGGTAATGCTAAATGATCAGAAAATTTGGGTAGAATTTTTGAAAAATCTATAATATTTTTTTTTATTTTAAAAGAATTTTTTTTAAATTTTTTTAATTATAAGATATAAAAGTTAAAAGGATAAAAATGTTTATAAAAGTAAAATGACATAAGTAAAATATGACTAAATTCTGACCAAAAGGATTTTTCCAATGGGATGATGTTGACAATTGACATTAAGTTTGGTTGGAGGAAATGTTGCTTGGCCAGGAAAGAGGAAATAAATAAGCGAATATTATATATAATAACAAACTATTAATTTAAATTAAATGCTATAAATATACTTTGATTTAATTGTATCTTATAGCAAACTATTGCTATTTTCACCACTCTCCCTGGTGGAATCTTGCTCGCCACTCTCGTTTGGTGGCAGTCTCGCTCGCCTCTCTCGCTTTTATACAAACACAAATGTATAAAATGTGTTTGTGTTTGTATGAAACAAGAAGAAATTGTATATATACATATATTTTCGTTCCCCTCTCTCCTCTCTCCCAGATCTCGCTCGCCACTCTCCCAAATCTCACTCGCCACCCTCGCTTCTCTCGCTTATACAAACAGAAACGAAATGTATAAATTGCGCTTCTGTTTGTATAAAGCAAGAGAAAATTGTATATACACATGCAAATACATATATCTTTGTCCTATACACTTATAATTATACAATACAAATATTTTTCTGCCAGTTTTCTTTTGCCTTTCTCGTTTTATACATACACAAATTATACAATTGATCTTTTGTATACAACTGCTTTCTTTTGTATATGTATAGCGAATTATACAACTGTTTTTTTTTGTATATGTATAACGAATTATACATTTGTATGTTTGTTATAGAGCGCAATTATGCAAACTTTGCTACAGCATACAAATATGAATTTTGTGTTTGCTATATGAAAATTACTCAATAAATAAACTGATAATGGGTGGGCACAATTTTCTACAAATTCTGAATTATTTGGAGACTCGGTCTAAAGGCAATTCCTTTATCTTCCCGACAAGTTACTTCATGACCAGAGTTTGTATTGACAAATGCTTCAACTTAAACTACATGAATTACCTGAAAATAATGCATTGTCAGTCGAATGAAGCAAAGATTTAACTGTGCTTTGCGTTGGACTTGATCGGGAAAAAGAGTGATTCATTAGGTAAGAAATAGATAGATCAGCCTTGGCGCGGAGGAACTTGATCGGAAAAGAAAAAAGGTTCATAACTATTTTATACATTAATACAATCGAGAAAGAGATAGATTCATCATTGCTTTCAAAAGACAGCTTGCACAGATTCATTTGGAATCCCGCAATATGCAATGAACAACAATTGATTCGGAGTTGCAAAGTAGCTTGGCCTGCATATTTAATGGCAGGGGTGGATCTAGGGTATCAAGTTTAGTTTTTTGGAAACAACTTTTACATAAACCTTGTGCTTCCACTTAGTCCAATGATAGTGAAGGAATACACACTTTTTTTTTTTTTTACGGGGTTCAATTCTCTTGGACACGTATAAAGAATTTTTCTTTTTTAATTTGAAATATTAAAAGTTCATAAATTTTTGGATCCGCTTTAATAGATTAAATAAAAGCAACGTTCCAACAAAATGTATGATTATGACCTAACCGACCCATATTGGGACGTTAAAGGTTTAACAAATTCTAAGCTATGGGTTTGTGAATTGTGACAGGTTTTACAGAATTGCTACTTTATAAAACCTGAACAACCATGTTAGTCCTCCGCCCAACCGCTTAAACTAAAATTGGCGACATGTATTATATGTGTATAATAATATATAGTAATAATTTTTATATATAAGCTAGAAAAAAGTAAACAGTGAATTTTACTAGCTATTGTTTAGATCATGACACATTGTTATTAAGAAAACAGAAAAAATTTCCCCGTATTACTTTTCAGTTGTCCGATAAAAGTTTAGAAGTAGACAAAGGATAATAAGCAAATTGGATTCAATTTTTCTACAACAAAAATCAATTCTACTTGAGTCAGTTGTAGAGAACTTGAAACAAGACAAACTCAGAAAAGGGACATGGGAGCACAAAACTTTTGCTCATAAGTAGCCACAGAGTCAGTTGTAGAGAAGACAAGCTGATATTTGATCTGTTAATTCAATTGGCTGAACATAAGTCAGGACAGAACATGCCTGAATTTAATGTTGGTGGAGGAACTTGATCGGAAAAAAGAGGGATTCACTAAGCTTTGGGTTGACAAATTAAACGAGAAAGAGATGGATTAGCCTTGGTGGAGGAACTAGATCGGATGACAGCTAACACAATACATTTGAAATTGAGTAAAAATCTTACATATTTCATATTCGTCCTGGACAAATATAAAGAAGTCATAGTTTCCTACAAATTCTGAATTCCATAAACTTGAGACTTAGATGCAAATTTCATATGTATTCAAATGAATGCGTAATTCATTTTCTCATTTATTTCTTTATTCGTTTATTTTTTTCTCAACTTTTTTTTTTCTTGTTTTTTTTGTTATTATTTATTTTTCTCATTTCATTTAATCGTTTTTACGTTTTTATTTGCTTCCGTATGCAATAATACTGTAACTGGTATTATTAAGATTACCTACATTCATTCATTTACCATCAATCATCCGCATTGTGCAAAGAAAAAGATAGAATAAGTGCATAGGAAAATAAATAAATATAAAAAGTGACATCAAACTGATCCCGCGGGAATAATTTGTTTTGTCCAATTTTCAAGTTTATAAAAAACATATATCTACCCCTCTCTCTCTCTAAAATAATTTAAATATGTTTGTAATTCTTGAAAAAATTACATATTTTTTTAAAAAAATTACTTTATATAATTTTTATTTATAACAATTAAATAAAATTGTAGTGTTTTTTTTTCTATAATAGACGCGAACATATAAAATAAACAACGCGTCAAGTTGAAGCTGCTCTCTATAAAAATTACCAAACGCCTTCCACGCTGCTCTCATTCTAGTACTTATCAGTTGTTTATTCGTGATTTTTTATCAAGTTTGACAGTGTTTTAGTCTAATATATTATTTTAATCAAAATTTAATCAATGATTGATAAAGTCTACTTCTTCTTGTTATGTTTCTTGCTTTTCGATCATTCTAGTACTTATCAGTTGTTTTTTTCTGATTTTTCATCAAGTTTGACTATGTTTTTTCATCAAAATTTTGAAATTTAAAGATTTAGTCTAATGCATTATTTCATCTTTTTTTTTTTGGATGTTGGTGGGTAGGCGGGGATGACATGTACATTATGCAGTTCCTTGAGATGATTATTAAGATCTTAAATCTCTCTCTGTGTCTCATTAGTATTATGATTTCAAGATTTTCAGTTAAGTGAAAGAAACTCTCCCTCTCTCCTCTCTGGCATTAAAGTAAGCTTCCTCTCTATTTCAATGGATATTCGTATTATGATTTCAAGATTTTCGGTGAAGTCAAAGAAAGAAAGTAGAAAAATTCAAAATTTACATTTCTACTATATCTAAAATAGTTCTGTTAAAGGTATACTCTTCCAATATTTGCCTTTTTTTTTTTTTTTTTATCTTTCTTTGATCTTTTTTTTTTTCATGTTGACATCATCAAAATCATCCTCACCCCTCCAGATTTGGAGCTTGAGGTGCTGCTGCAGCGTGCCAACAGTTACATTATCAAACTTCTTCAAATAAACCTCCATTTTTGCAAGTTCTTTGCATTTATAGTCTAGATCGGAAGTACTCTTGAACTTGTAGCTTATTATTCAAATATTTGATTTAAGTACCTTGACCTGGTTAAATACTATAATCTTACAATAGTAGGTTTATACATGGATAGAGAAGCCAACAAACTTATGAAAATGAAAAGTGTGAGGCTGTGTGCTTGTAAAACGTCATTTACACCTGTTGTGAAAAGTCTTTTTGAGGTTCAACTTGCATGCAATGAGAAATTATTTGTTTATGATTTTGGACTACCAGGAGAAGGAAAAAAATATGTTGTTTGAAGATGAAAGAGAATATTTAAAGTTGATGATTTCTTTTGCTTTTCACATTTCATATTGTTTCTTACTTCCTTTTTTTCCTTTTAATTGTGGATCCTTATTTTTGCTCTCACAGAACCCAAAAATGCTCTTTGCAAGAAATACAAGCAATCAACTTGAATAATGTAAGCTTTTGGCTAAGTTCTGTTTACCTTTAACCTACAATATTTCATTCTTCTGAAAAAGGAAGTTTCTCTGTATTTATCCCCAACACATTCACAGGAAAAAAGGGAAAGAGAAGAAGAATAAGCCACTCTTGATAAAAAAAAATGATACTCCATTCTGATGAACTGTATCAAAATCAATCAAGTAACTGCTAAACGATTTGTTTTGATGTTACAGGTCGACTTACAGTTTACCGAGAATGCACTTTGAGTTATTGTTGAGGAAGGCATTGCCAAAAAACACTGGTGCACGAGGCTTAAGATCTATACTAGAAAGTATTCTGACTGAAGCCATGTTTGAGGTATTGCATGACACCACAACTTTTTGTATTTGGCGTTAATTCTAGAAGAGCTTGGAAAAATATTTCACCCATTTTACTCTTATCACATTGAGGCTACTAAAGGGAGGAGACATGTCACCTTTTATTTGAGAGTTTGAAGTACCTGCTTTTGAGTATTACTTTCAAAATTTTACGTGAAAACCCCATGAGTGTTGACATAGCTATCTTATGTGAAGAACTTTGCCCAAAATGAAACTAAACATGACTTTTACCTGTCTTTTGAAATGTGCCTAAATATTGGTTTCAAAGGCTCGTATTTCATTGTCAAGCAGACTGCATGGTTTCTCTTTTGTAATCTGGTTCACTTTTGCACTATCAGCAACATAGTTATTCAATTATAAATGTTGGTGTCCATGTTTGTTTGCAGGCTGCTGACTTCAATGTCGAAGCAGCTCAGCAAGGGGTTGCCTACATAGACGAAGTTGATAAAATAGCCAAAAATTATTATCTACTTTATGAATTTGGATAATTGACTTTAAAGTAGTCATTCTCATCAGTCATCTGTTTAGGCTGAGAGCCTTGACATTGGCAGCGATGTATCTGAGGAGGACGTCCAACAGGCACTGCTAAAGATGCTTGAAGGAACTGTGAGTATTTATTGCAAATTATTTCTTCTGTTTGTTCCAATTGCCTATTACTCTTGTAAACATGTTTACAAATTCCTATCTGTAGTTCCTTCACTTCAAATGTGTTCTCTTATGGAACATTTTTCGAAGTTTAATAATTTCACTTGTTGAGTTTATCTTTATTTCTTCTTCAGATTGTAAGTGTACCTGACAATAGAGCATGAAAGCATCCACATGGAGATACTATTCAGGTATACTGAATTTATTATAGCCTCTTTTATCTACTTTTTCTTTTTTTTAATTGCAGGCAAACAGTTTTGAGGGAAAAGCACTAACCACTTGCTATTTGGATAGTAATATAGTTTAGTGCTTTTTAGAATCTATTTGATTAAGTTGCAGGTGGAAAACAAATCTTTACTGGGATAGATTGTTTGGCCAAGGAAAATCAACAAACAAGAAACAACACTTCTTCAGCTTAACTACACGGAAGTCAAGTCAAATACTGATTTATATGCCTTGCAGCAATTATCTACGAAGGCTGTGAAATTAGAACGAGCTGGACATTAATTGTTCAATAGCTCATCACTGTTCTTTCTAGATGCTGACTGCTCTTTATATTTTTCCATATACTAATTTGCAGATAGCTAAAGATATCCTTTTTATCTGTGGTGGAGCTTTTGTGGTTTAGAGAAGGTAATTTTAGAAAGGTTATCTGAAAAACTCAATTAATTTCATGAAACACATTTAGGTTAAGTGATATAATATGGTTCAGCTTATCATTCCTTTACTCCAGACGACAAGATTCTTCAATTGGATTCGGAGCATTTGTTCAAACTAACATGAGAATTGGTGGTCTAACTGATGCTGCAGTTACATCATCACTATTGGAATCTGTGAGGAGGAGATCCCTGTGACTTGAGCATAGTTTTCTTTTCCGGATCACTATTTTGTAAATCTAGTGATTTTATGACTCTTTATTCTCGTGAAATTCTAAAAATCAAATGCATCAGAAGCATTTGTTTGGCATTGCCTTCTGTATCTAGGTAGAAAGTCATGATCTCACTGCGTATGGACTCATACCTGAATTTATGGGGCGGTTTCCAATTTTAGGAGTTTGATGGATGTTTTGGTCACTACTTTTAGGTTCTTTTCTAGGGTTGTAATGCAATTGGCTGTGGAATCTTTATGGTGAAATACTTGGTTAAGATCAAATATATTTTTGGGCTCTTTATTGTTTTTATTTTTCTTTTAAAATGTACCAAGAGTTGAATGTCTGCTGTTATACAATTGGATGGTATTTTTCCCCCTAATATATATGAAGTTAATAATCTGTATGTTCCTGTGCTCTATAGTTAAGTAGCTACAGTGGCTTGGTCATGTTAGAATTCATTTGTATTGTGTGTGACTTTTCCTTTTTCTTATACTCGTGCTGTTCCCGTCTTGGGACTAGGAGCTTCTTATTAACCCTACTAAAATGGTTGTAGTCTTTTTCATATTATAGATCTTGTTGCATAATCAACATCGGCCTGCCAAATATTTCATTTCCTTGTTAAATGGTTCAGCCTTTTCCCATTTGTTGTTTTTTGTGTTGTTCCTATCTTGGGACTAGGAGCTTTTTATTGAACCTACTACAATGGTAGTGATCTTTTTCGTATTATGGATCCTGTTGCATAATCACCCTAGGTCTGTCAAATATTTCATTTTCCTTGTTAAATGGTTTAACCTTTCCCATTTGTTGTTTCTTGTGCTGTTCCTGGCTTGGGACTAGGTGCTTCTTATTGACCCTTACTAAAATGATGGTAATCTTTTTCATATTATCGATCCTATTGCATAATCACCATAGGTCTGCCAAATATTTTGAGACCAAACATGTTTGGCAATTGCACTGTTCAAGTTGTTTTGTGCAACCCTGTTTGATGCCTTGCAGCAATCATCTACGAATGATCTAAAATTCAGCACTGTTCTTTTTAGATGCTGACTGCTCTTCACAATTTTCCATATACTAATTTGCAGATAGACACTAAAAGATTTCCTTTTTATCTGTGGTGGTGCTTTTGTTGGTTTAGAGAAGACAATTTCAGAAAGGTTATCTGTCAAACAAAATTAACTTCATGGAACACAGTTAGGTTAAGTGGAATATTATGGTTCAACTTATCATTCCTTTACTCCCAGACAACAAGATTTTTCAATTGGATTTGGAGCACCAGTTCGAACCAACATGAGAATTGGCGGTCTAACTGATGCTGTAGTCACATCATCACTATTGGAATCTGTGAGGAGATCCCTGTGACTTGAGCATAGTTTTCTTTTCCGGATCACTATTTTGTAGATATAATGACTCTTGTTCTCTTGAAATTCTAGAAACCAAATGCACTGGAAGCATTTATTTGACATTGCTTTCTGTATCTAGGTAGAAAGTGTTGATCTCACTGCATATGAATTTGTGGGGAGATTTCCAGTTTTAGTGAGTTTATCTTCACTGGATGAGGAGCAGCTCGTTCAGGTTTGTCTACTCTTTTTGCCTTTTGGCGATGTAGTTTCCACTTTCACATTCTCCTGATTTAATTGGCTTTTGAGGAACTCTAACTTTGCTTAGGAGGTTGATGGCCAACTTAAAAATAGTCAAATTATAATGAATCCTCATAGTATATGTTGATGAAGTCCTAATGAAATTCGCCCAACCAATGGGAATTATACCCAGATTTGTAAATGTGGTTTTGATCGATTGATTCAATAGGGAACTTTAGTAGTTCTTCATTTTGCTTTTAGGTGCTATTGTGGACTCTTAGCTGGCATTAAGAAGGGAAGAGCAGTAAGCTCAGTATGTTCTGTTAAAAGGTAGCCTCTTCCAATTTTTTCCTTTTCTCTTTTTCTTTGATTCTTTTTTCGATGTTGACAATAGTAAAATCATCTTTGTCCCTTAAGAATTGGAGCTTAAGGTGCTGCTGCCGCATGCCAGCAATTACATTATCAAACTTCTTCAAATAACCTTGCATCCTTTCAGATTCTTTGCATTCATAGTCTAGATTCGAAGTATTCTTGAACTTGTAGATTATAATTCAAATATCTGATTTCAATAGTAGGTTAATACATGGATATATAAGCCAGCCAACTGAAAAATAATGAAAAGTGTGTGGCTGTGCGTGTTTGCAGAACATCACTCACAGTAGTATCTGATGGATGTTTTGGTCACTACTTTGGTTATGGTATGGAGTTCTAGAGGGGCTTTGCAGCTTTGTGGAGGCCTCATTTGTTCCAATATAACAGTAGCTCTTTCAGGGATTCAGGGATGTCTTATTTCACTTCTAGTATATTCATCTGTTCATTCCAATTGCCCATAACTCTTGTAAATATGCTTACAAATTCATATTATGTAGTTCCTTGACTTCAAATACGTTCTCTTTGAAGCATTATTCGAGATTAATGATTTCACTTGCTGAGTTTATTTTTATTTCTTCTTCAGATTGTAAGTGTACCTGAAGAGCACGGAAACTTCCATGTGGCAATACTATTCAGGTATACTGAATCTATTTAGTGCCTATTTTATCTGCATTTTCTTTTTAAAAATTGCAGTCTAACAATTTTGTGGGAAAAACACTTACCACTTGCTAGGAAAGAATGTTTGGCCAAGGAAAATCAGATGTCAGGCACTGACCTATTCAACAGCAAGAAACAGAACATCTTCAGCTAGACTACACTTTTGTTGGGAGGGAGAGGTCAAGTGATGATCTCACTGCATATGGACTCATATCTGTATTTGTGAGGCGGTTTCCAGTTTTAGTGAGTTTTATCTTCACTGGACGAGGATCATCTTGTTCAGGTTTGTCTACTCTTTTTGCCTTTTTGCGATATAGTTTCTAGTTTCACGTTTTCATGATTAGTCGGCTTTTTGGGAACTCCAACTGTGCTTAGGAGGTTGATTACCAACTTTAAAATAGTCATATTATGATGAGTCCTCATAGTATTTGTTGAGATGATGTCCTTTAGGTGCTATCATGTACTCTTAGCTGTCATTAAGAAGGGAAGCAAACTCAATATGTTCTGTTAAAGGTATCCTCTTCCAATATTTGCCTTTTCTATCTTTCTTTGATCCTTTTTACCATGTTGACATCAGTAAAATCATCTTTACCCCTCTAGATTTGGAGCTCAAGGTGCTGCTGCAGCGTGCTAACAATTACATCATCAAACTTCTTCAAACAAACCTCCATTTTTGCAAATTCTTTGCATTTATAGTTTAAATCGGAAGTACTCTTGAACTTGGAGCTTATTTTTCAAATATCTCATTTAAGCACCTTGACCTAGTTAAATGCTATAATCTTACAATAGTAGGTTTATACATGGATATAGAAGCCAACAAACTTATGAAAATTATAAGTGTGAGGCTGTGTGTTTGTAAATCGTCATTACACCTGTTGTGAAAAGTCTTTTTGAGGTTTAACTTGCATGCATTGAGAAATTATTTGTTTATGAATTTTTGACTCCCAGGAGAAGGAAAAAAGTATGCTGCTTGAAGATGAAAGAGGATAATTGAAGTTGATGTTCTCTTTTGTTTTTCACATTTCATATTGTTTCTCACTTCTTTTTTTTCCTTTTAATTGTGGATCCTTGTTTTTGCTCTCACAGAACCCAAAATGCTCTTTGCAAGAAATACACACAATCAACTTGAATAATGTAAGCTTTTAGCTTAGTGCTGTTTAGCTTTAACGTACGATGTTTCATTTCTCTGAAAAAGGAAGTTTCTGTGTCTTTATCCCCAACACATTCACAGGAAAAAAGGGAAAGAGAAGAAGAAGAAGCCACTCTTGATAAAAAAGAAGAAGATAACTCTATTGTGATGCACTGTATCAAAATCGGTCAATTTACTGCTAAAACAATTGTTTTGATGTTACAGGTCAACTTACAGTTTACCGAGAATGCACTTTGAGTTATTGTTGAGGAAGGCATTGCCAAAAACACTGGTGCACGAGACGTAAGATCTATACTAGAAAGTATTCTGACTTAAGCCATGTTTGAGGTATTGCATGGCACCACAACTTTTTGTAATTGGTGTTAATTCTGGAAGAGCTTGGAAAAATATTTCACCCATTTTACTCTTATCACACTGAGGCTACTAAAGGGAGGAGATATGTCACCATTTATTTGAGAGTTTGAAGTACCTGTTTTTGAGTGTTACTTTCAAAATTTTACGTGAGCACCCCATGAGTGTTGAAATGGCTATCTTTTGAAGAACTTAGCCTAAAATGAAACAACATGACTTTTACCTGCCTTTTGAAATGTTTCTAAATATTGGTTTCAAAGGCTCGTATTTCATTGTCAAGTAGACTACAGGGTTTCTCTTTTGTAATCTGGTTCACTTTTGCACTATCA